CGGCGGGGTGGTGGGGTGCGCTCACACCCTGCCCTGCGCTCTGTGCTGTGCAGAATTTCCATCGGCACTACCGGTGCTTCGGGGGCTGGACCGTGGCGCACTGGAACTTCCAGACACTGAACCTCAGCGGCTACCTCGACTCGCCCCGCTTCCAGGAGATGATGGGGTACATCGACCCCTTCTGTGAGTGACTCAACTCGGAGCCGCCGGAAGCAAGGACACAGGGGGCAGGGGCAGGGGCGGGTGTTGCCGCAGACGGGAGTGAGGGGGCAAGCAGTGTCACAAATTGGGCTGTGGCCGGGCCTGGACCACATCCCCGGGGCCTGGCACCAGCTGGTTCTGCCCAGTCAGGGAATGCAGAGCGAGTGTCCACGCCACAGGAGAACGTGGGTGAAGGTGGCCGTCACGTGGCCTGTCGCTGCACCCCTTGGCTGTACACGGAGATCACTTGGGATTTTTAGAAAGACCTGCCCCCCCATCTTGATGCTGCTAGGATGGGATGTGGCCTTTGCTCTGGGGTTTCAGTCACTGACCTGTGACACGGCTGAGAGCTGAGCCCTGGGTGAGTGGGCCTCCCCGCCCCTGCTTCCTCCTGCCCTGTGGCCTCTCTGGTGCCAGCTGGCCCTGCCCATGTCCCTGTCCTCTCTGGTTACCCCCCGAGGCAGATTGGGTCCCTCGCCCTTTGCACGGCTCTCCAGACACCTGGACTTGGCATCCTTAGGCTCTAGTCTCCTCTCCCCAAAGAAGGCAGTGCCACTCACTGGGCCAGTAGCTGGCCGCTAGGACTTGTGCGGGGACTGGGACTACCGCACAGTAGCCTTGGGACAGCCACTCAGAGAGATGGGCATGCAAGGCCACCAAGACCCTCTGGAGGCTGCCCCACCTTCCCCACTGGGAGCGGCAGGCTGTCCTTCTATGTCTAATGGGCACTAGAGACCACCCTCTCGTGTCTCTGGTGGCTGGGGCCACCCTGCCTGGTCCACTGGAAGCTGGGCCACCCTTCCATGTCCACTGGTAACTAGAGGCCTCCCTGCCTGTCCACTGGGAGCTGGGCCACCCTTCTGGAGCCCAGACTGTGTCTGGCATGATGGATTGCTCTTTTCTCTCAAAGACTACATGGACAGGTACCAGACCAAGCCCAAGCTCCTGGTGTTCGGGTCTGGGGACGAATTCTTCAGCCCAGATGGGACCATGTACTTCTATGAGCAGCTGCCAGGGACCAAGTACCTCAGGTAACTCACCCATTGTCTGGACAGCCAGGCCCTCCACAACTACGCCCACCTGACAGTGAGGACAGGGCAGGATTCAGCCCAAAAGGTAAACCTTCAGGTTGGTAGGGAAGGAGCAGGCCAGGCAAAGCCGCAGAGGGGAACTGTATTTCCTGCTAAGGCTTCAGACTCCCGTCTTTATGATTCATAAAATGAAATAAACGAAATCCACATCCGAACTCCAGACGTGCTGTGCTTACACTTATCCAAGCCCTCGTGGGGCGGGCTAGCCCCCCTCTACTCTAAGAGGGGCCCTCGCGGGGCGGGCTAGCCCCCCTTTACTCTAAAAGGGAGCCCTCACGGGGCGGGCTAGCCCCCCTCTACTCTAAGAGGGGCCCTCGCGGGGCGGGCTAGCCCCCCTTTACTCTAAAAGGGAGCCCTCACGGGGCGGGCTAGCCCCCCTCTACTCTAAGAGGGGCCCTCGCGGGGCGGGCTAGCCCCCCTTTACTCTAAAAGGGAGCCCTCACGGGGCGGGCTAGCCCCCCTCTACTCTAAGAGGGGCCCTCGCAGGGTGGGCTAGCCCCCCTCTACTCTAAATACGTCCAGCCTGCCCTGAGGCCGGTGTCGCCCTAGAGAGGAGGCTGCTGCCTGTGCCTACGTGGCCAGCTCCTCTTGTAACTGGGGCCCTGGCTCTCCAGCTCTCCTACCTTCTCCAGGGTACAGGTCAGCTGCCTGCCTCGCACCTGGTCCTGCGTGGAGGGGCCAGCTGTAGGCAGGACAGCCTCTCCCTTTCCAGCACGTCTGAGCCCCTCTCACCCTTGCCAGGAACAGGCCCACCACCCCACTCTCCAGCCTGGGTCTGGCCCTCTGAGGTGTGCTAGTGTCCTGGGGCCCAGGAGGGCTCAGAGCAACAGCAGTGCAGTCCCTCTCTGTCCTGGAGGTCGGGTGTCAAGGGGCAGCATGATTGCTCCAAAGACTCCAGGGGAGGGTCTCCCCTGCCCTGCCCAGCCTTTGGGGGCCCTGGGTATCCCTTGGTGTGGAACAGCATCACCCCAGTGTCCACCTCCATTCTCACGTGGCCTCCACCAGCTCTGTGTCTCATACCTCTGCCTTTCTGATAAGAACACCAGTCACAGGATTGAGGGTCTCCCCCAGTCTCGTGTGTTCTCATCTCAAAAGCTTGAACTCAGTTACATCTGCAAAGACCTCTTTTCCAAATATGGTCACACTCACAGGTTCTGGGGCTTAGACTTACACACACACACACGTGCACACACGCACACACACGTGTATTTTACCAGCTTCACTGAGATGCACAGGAGTGTCCATGGGCATCTGTGCCAAGACCCCCGGGGTGCCCGAAACCCTGGCTAGTGCTGAATCCCTGACCCACTGTGAGGGCCACTAAGTGACAGCTAGGCAGGAAGCACACGCAGGAGGACGACAGCTGGGTGGGTGCCGAGAGGTGTGCAAGCTTGCCTCCGGCTCCTGGGACAGCAAGTGACTGAGAACTTGCGAATCGTTTAATGTCTGGAATTTCCCATTTAGTAATTTCCAACCTCGGCTTGACTGCGGCTCATCGAGACCACGGAATGACACCGTGGAGAAAGGGAACTGCTTTAATTCGCACGCCATGCAATCTGTCCATGCAGAGAGTAATTTAATGGGTTTGGGTATATAAGTATTAATTTTATTTATTTATTTAAGTTTTGCTATAGAGCATGTGTGTTTGCCAGAGAGAGAGGGAAGGAAATGAGAAATCACCCCCACAGAGGCATGGCCATACCACAGTTTTTTCAACTCTGATCTCCTCTCAGGATTTTGGGCACACATACACACGTGCCTGCTCTGTTTCCAAGCCTCTGGTCTGGGACTTGAACTGCTCAGTTGCCCATGTGAGAATACAGCAGTTTAAACCACTCAGACACCATCTGGCCCAAAATTATATTATAAAAACTGTGGGGACCTGCAGTTGGCATAATGGCTATGTTGCTGGACTCCCATGTAGTCGACTGTGGTTTGAGTCCTGAACCCAGTGGCTTAAACTCATGCCGGGCACGTGTGCGTACGTGTTCAAGTTCCTGAGAGGAGAATGGAGAAGGGATTGCGGCGTGGCCATGCCCCTTGAAGATGATTTCTCACTTTCGGTCTCTCTCTGTCTTTCTGGTGAGTGCACACACGCTATAGAAAAAACCTCTCCAAGAAAGTAATTAAAAAACTATGGTTAAGACATACATAAAATCTGCTACCTTACTGTATTTTTGTTTTTATTTATTTTATTATTTTTAAAATTTTGCCAGAGGGCACATGTGCTCACAGGAGACAAATGAGAGAGAGGGAGGAAAAGTAAGGAAGTGCCCCCCATGGGGCATGGTCATAACACAGTCCCTCCCCTTCCATTTCCCCCTCCTTTGGGACCCTGGACGCATGCCACCAGGTCTGGGATTTGAACTGCATGTAAGTGTATGAATATTTCTTTGGAGGATAGCACCCACTGTGGTGATGGCTCATGAAGGGAGCAAGCAATGATTCTTAAAGAGTTTCTCAACTCACTCACAGGCCCCATCAGGCTCTCCCCGCCGCCCCTGCCCAGCCTGCCTCAGGACTGCTTAACGGAATCCCACAGACCATGTAATGTAAGGAGGAGTCAGGGCCAGCCAGTGGTGTGAACTCACAAGGTGCTGGATCCCACATAGCCGACTATGTGGTTCGAATCCCAGACCCAGCAGTTTATATAACACGTTGGGATGGGACCAGCAATTGGTATAATGGTTACATTGCTGGTCTCCCATGTAGTTGACCACAGTTCAAGTCTTGGACCTGGCCATTAAAACTCATGCTGGGCGTGCCTCTGTGTCTAAAATCCCAAGAGGAGAATGGAGGAGAAGGGATTTCAGTGTGGCCATCACCCTGGGGGATGATTTCTCACTTTCTCTCTTTCTCTCTGCCAAGTCCGTGCACTCTCTGGCACATTGGAAACAATAAAATAATAATTAAATAGATGAAAAGAACAGATTTAGTTCTACAGTTCTGGAGGCTGGGAAGTCCAGGGTCAAGGAGCTGCATGGGGAGGCCTTCCTGCCTCATCATTCAGCGCAGAGACAAAGGGCAAGTATGCAGCGAGGCAGAGGAAGGGTCGGCCTCGTCCTTTTCACCAGAGCCCACCTCCAGGATAACCCACCCACTCTCGAGGTAGAGGCACTGGTCCACCCAGGAGGCCAGAGCCTTGCGGTCTCATCACTTCTCAGAGGCCCTGCCTGCACACCTGTGTGTTTTCTGCTTTCCTGTGAGACACCTCGTGTTGCTCAGCTCGGTGCAGGGCAGTGTGGGTGCTCGGTAGGGCCCGTACGGGAGGGCAGCCTGGCGTCGGGGGCACACTGTGGGTTGTGCTGCTTTCTTCCATTGAGGTGCAATTCATATAACGTGCATTAACAGCGCCCCACTTTTTTTTTTCTTTTTTTTTCTTTGCTGTAGGCATGCCAGAGACAGAGTGAGAGAAAGTGAGCAATCACCCCTGGGGGGCGGCCACACTGCAGTCCTTCTCCTCCTTTCTCCTCTCAGAGTTTTGGCCACACACGCACATTTCCAGTGTGATTTTCAAGCCACTGGGTCTGGGACTCGAGCCGTGCTCGGCCTCGTAGGAGTCCAGCCCCTTTACCATCATGCCACGTGCTGACCCCAAGAAGACCCCTTTGACATGCTCACCGCGGTGGCTTTAGTGAGGCCCGTGTTGCGTAATCACCTGCTCTTTCTAGTTCCACTCCTTTGTGCCCTCATAAAAGCACCCTGCACCTCCACGGTCACCCTCCCCGGCCCCCAGCCCTGCCGGCCACATGCCTGCTTCCCATGCTGGTTCCCGATGTCCCTCTATATCCGGGGCCTTTGCTTAGTGTCCCCGAGGTCTGCGTGTGCTGTGACGCATGTCAGAGCCTCGCTCCTGCTCGCGGCGTGTTCCCTTGCAAGGCTGGACCGCGTACTGTCACCCCGCCTGGTGAGGGAGCCAGCACGGGGACAAGCGTAGGAGTGAGAGTGTCCCAGGGGACACGTGCGTCTTTTCTCTTGGGTGGGGGCGTCTTGTTTCTATCCCCCTGGGATGGGGGCTATGTCGGTGCCTTAGAGGTGGGGACATGCCAACTCCTGTCTCTTTCAGAATCATCCCCAATGCAGGACACCTGGTAAACTTGCGAGAGCCGGAGACCTACCTGGAAATCAGCCATTTTTTCCAAGGCCTTTTGACAGGGCAGACGTCTCCTAACATTTCCTGGACGAAGTCACCGGTGAGTGTCACAGGCTGAGCTTGGAGGTGGGCACGCCACGACCGGAGGTGATGCAGAGGGGCAGCAGAACTCTTCTGAGACGTGCCATTCTGCTGTGTCCTGTCAGGGTTAGGGGACGCATGGGGGCTCCAGCTGTGCCTGTCCCCATTCATCCCTAGCCCAGAACTTCTCTGGGTAACCCCCCGGAGGCAGCACCCATCTAGTTTCACACTAAAAGGCCCGGCTGGTAGGAAGAGTTTGGAACCCTGGGGGCAGAGCAGGAGGCTGGGCAGTCCTGGCCTGTCCCCTCAGGCCTGGACACTCTAGTTAGGCCCACATGTGTGTACCCATGGCCTGCACTGGCTAGACACTGCCCCGGTTGGGCCTGGAGAGGTGGAGCAGGGCCTTGGGCATCACAAGCAGAGACAACGCCTCCCTGGGTGTGACTGGGGTGTGGACATCCCGCAGACGGCCCCTTCCTATGTGCGGCTGGGATCCCACAGACGGCCCCTTCCTATGCGCGGCTGAGATCCCACAGATGGCCCCTTCCTATGCGCGGCTGGGGTCCCGCAGATGGTCCTTTCCTGCACATGGCCGGGGTTCCGCAGACGGTTCCTTCCTATGCGTGGCCGGGGTACCGCAGATGGCCCCTTCCTGCGTGCAGCCGGGGTGCGGACGTCCCCGAAGCTGCCCTCCCAAATGCACCAGCACCAACACGATGCTCTCGAGGCCCCTCCATGCCGCTGCTTCTAAAAGCACAGGTGTCTCAGCTGTCCGTCCTGGCCCCTGGAACGACCCCTGCCCAGCACGGACTGCAGGCTCGGGCTGGGAGGCAGGCGAGCAGCCCCGGCTGGGAAGAAATGTCTCCCTGGGAGAAGTGCCGGTGTCAGAGGTCATCGGGCCACGGTCAGCATTGCTGAGCGAGGACACAGGATGGCTGTTGAGATGGCCGTCGTGGGGACCCTGAGTCGCACACACACCTGGGTCCTGTGCAGAGCTGGTCCCCTGTGCGGGGGCGGGGCCGGGCTCTTGGCCACCTCCCGCACCTGCCGGCCTGGTGGGCCCAGGGAGGCCGAGGCCCATGGAGAATGTCTGCTCTTTCAGACGGCGAGTTCAGGCTCCCTCACTGTCTACACCGACGTGG